AAAAACGACTTCTTCTATTCATTCACAAGTATCTTTAACCATTTATTTTGGCCAGATTTAGAAAGTTCTCATTATTTTAAAGATTCTCTAAACTGGATGGACCAATATGTCTATTACGTTGGTAAAGGTTCCAATGCCAATTAAAAACTTTTGAGGACAATTGGCACAGAAGGTTTACGACGGAGATAGGCAAGCTTTAAAGGAGCAAGTTTTGATTGATCGAATTAAGTTAAAACTACACGAAATTGATTTACATGTTTTACAATTTTTAAAAAAATTGAGATTAATTGCAAATGATCGTGTTTTATCATTTAAAGAGTAATTTATTTTATTAAAAGATAAACACTTTATTTCCAAAAAATATAATAATAGCTCTTTTTTCATTTATAAATAAGTTATTGTTTTGTCCGATAACTTACGCATCACCCGTTAGTTATGATGATTTTCTTTTTGTTATAAATAGTTAGCTGGGTATGCTTAGTATTGAACAATTCGTTTTTCATTAATTGCTAACAACTCTAGATATACTCTTGATGGTTCTGATGTTGACCAGGTTGTAACTTTTATGGTGCACCTTGTTGAAAAAAGTTGTTATACAACATTAAAAGATTTTTTGTTGTTGTTCACATCACAACGCCTTCCATTTTGTTTTATATTTGGATTTAGTTTATCTCTTCTTTTTCTGTGCTTGCTCTCAATTGCTCGCTGAACACTAAGTTTGTCAGAGTTAACATAGATATCTTTGAATTTTTCGTCATGTCTCAGTTTGCGTGCATTGACTAGTGTTAAACTAACAAATTTTTTTTTCAGTCCAACTAGGATCTTTTTGTAAATTTTAAATCTGTCAAATGTGTTGATGATGTTGTTTATTTGAAGGACTAAAATTGATTAAAAAATTGCTAAAATTTTTTTGGTACTTCTTTCTCCAGGTCATCTATTTTACTCAATAATTGGTATATCGTCTAGTTTTTTTATGGTCAGAGACTTCCAAAAATTTTAAATATTTGACTTTTTGACAATCTCTTAAAAAATTACTTTTACTTTTTTAGGAATTAATTTTTTTTTTTTTTATATATTAGACGTTTTTTTTTTTTTTTTCTTAAAGTTAACCATTAAATTCCATTGTTATGTATTTAAATGTAATATTAAACAATAAAAAATTAAAAATTTAATAAATACTTTTAATATCAATAATGTTTGTAGCAATTACATTTATTTAGAAACTAAAGAATCACGTTCCCCGTCTAAAATGTCAAAAGACACGTTAGAAATAATATGGCTTATTCAAAATACTGAGAAAAAGGAACACTCTTTAGTTTTCAGTCCTCACATAAAAACCCATGTAGAATTTTCTATATTAGTAAATACCTCAAAGTTTCACATGAAATTTGGTGAGCTTTTATGTAAAAACTAGAAACGAAAAATGTTCCGTTTCCATATTGATTTTTATTACCTCATTTTATTACTTACAGGCTTTAGATTATTAAGAGGAGCAATACAAAGTAATCCGACAATAAGTACCAACAATAATCAAACAACAAGTACCGTCAATAAAAGTTTCAAAATCCAGCTGTACGTTTTTGCGTGGAGCACTAGATTAGAATATTGTAAGTTAATTTTGAATCATAAGTGTTGAAAAAAGAAGCGGTTTGTGAAATCCTGATAACGACGATGACTCACAACAGTTACTTAAACTTTTATACTTGTTACTCTGCTTCATCAGAGTCATTCTTATAACACGTATAAAAACATCCTTATAACATATATAAATGCTTATAACATATATAAAAACATCCTTATAACATATATAAATGCTTATAACATATATATAAACATCCTTATAACATATATAAATGCTTATAACATATATATAAACATCTGTATAACGTATATAAACGATAAAAAACAAAAAATTCACGAAGAAACAAAAAACATGAAGTTTCTCATCTGGATCTTTTTTTGGTTGTAATAAATTCTTTCAGATTTCTATTAATCAAGAAAATTTAAAGTAAAGAGTAAGATGAATTGGTTTTTTAAATGAAATAAGTTTAAATAAAATTATCTTGTAAATTATAATAAATGAAATATGTATAATATAAATAAGTTATAATATATATATATATATATATATATATATATATATATATATATATATATATATATATATATATATATATATATATATATACATATATATATATATATATATATATATATATATATATATATATATGTATATATATATATGCATATATATATATATATATAAATATATATATATATATACATATATATATATATATATATATATATATATATATATATATATATATATATATATATATATATATATATATATATATATATATATAATATATATATATGTATATATATATATATATGTATATATATATATATATATATATATATATATATATATATATATATATATATATATATATATATATATATATATATATATATATGTATATATATACATACATATATATATATGTATATATATATGTATATATATAAATATATATATATATATATATATATATATATATATATATATATATATATATATATATATATATATATATATATATATATATATATTTATATATATATATATATATATATATATATATATATATATATATATATATATATATATATATATATATATATATATTATGTAAGTTTAGATAAAATTATCACTTGATTATAAAAATTGAATAAAAAGACACCATAATAATAAATCTAACTTAAAAGTAATATTTGTTAAAAGTTTTTTATAAAAATATGGACGGAAAATACTTTTTAAAAAACATTTCAGACATGTTTTAAAAAACAAATGCTTTAAAAAAACGTTTGAAACATTTTCAAACGTTTTTTTAAAGAACGAATCAGAATCATTTTTATTTAAGAACAAAATAACAAATATCATTAATTCAGGCACATTTATTGACCTGTCGCCGTATTCACAACTCTCCGTTAAACTAACGGAGAATTTGAGTCTCCGTTAAAAAAAAAACTTTTAACGGCCGGTTATAAAACGGAGGACATTCTAATCATTCCGTTTAAACTCCGTTTGTTAACTACTCCAATAATTTTTTCAGTTAAAGTTTCTCCGTTAGCGAGCTCTGTTAACCAATTTTCGTGCTGTTTTTTTCATGGCATTAAAGCGTTGCGATGCCAACAGACAATAAAGCTGTTTAATTGGGAAGTCGCAGTCGTTGATTTTTTTATCAATAACTGCAGCGTAAATTTTGAAAATTTAATTAAAACACGATACAATATAAAAAAACTTCTATAATTTATGACATAGAAATTACTAAAACAACTTATTGCCCAAAATGTCGCAAAACAAAATTATCACGATTTTATTATTATTATTATTATTATTATTATATTTTCTTTGCCGTATAATTAAATTTACAATGAGAAAATACCATTCATGTATAAAAATTGGCCGGAGCAAGAAGAAGACATAAACTGTCTTATCGCCAAGCCCCGTTTACATTAACGTCACAAAGTTACAAGTTAAAAACTAAAAGGTTAAAAATTGAAGTACAATACAATATTAGTCGACAAATATAAGACACAAGTAATAAATCGAATAAATGTTATTTGTCTGTTCAAAATTAATAGTATATATATTTTTTATTTTAATAAGAAATAAACAAGATACACAAGACAATAGTAAATGAGTAGTGATGACTTTTTCAGGTTTAACTATTTTAGGTGATTTTAGAAGAAATCTTTAAAATCGAAAGTTTTTTCTAATAGAAAACGTTTAGATTCTCTTTTGAATTGTTCTAAGGAGATGCCTCGAAGAATTTTATTTTTAAATATATTTTTTAAAAAACCTTTCCATATAAATGGTCCCCGGTATTGAATTTGAAATGAATTGAGTTTTAAATAAGGTCATAGAATAACAAAATTATCAGATGAAAATTTAGTGGGATATTTATGAGATATTTCGGTAAAGTAAGACTGAAATATATTAGGAGATAACGCATGTTTTGTTTTAAACGTAAATAGCATAACTTGGTATATATTAAGTTTGTAAATATTAAGCACATTAAGTTTCTTTAAAAGAGATTCACCATTAACAGTTCTGTTAACGCCAAAAATAATCCTACAAGCATGTTTTTGTTTGCTATAAATTTTTTTGAGCTTCCCATAATTGGTACTTGCCCATGCAAGATTACAATAGGAAAGATAACTATGAATAAATGAGAAATATATAATTTTTAAAGATTCCGTATTAAGAAAAGGTTTAACTTTATATAGCATTGAAATATTTTTGGAGATTTTATTTTCAATAAATCTAATATGATATTTCCATGATATATTTTCATCTAATATCACTCCTAGAAAGTTAATAGTTGACTCTCTTTTAATAACTTTTTTGTTCATAAAGAGATCAGGTAGTTTTAAAAAAAGGTTATCACCTTTACTAGGTTTGTGGAACAACATAAATTTAGTTTTCCCAACATTTAATGAAAGTATATTATTCGTAATCCATTCATTTATTTTTAATAACTCTTCATTAAAAATTCTAAACAGATCTTTAATATTTCTGTTAGAGTAAAAAAGATTTGAGTCATCAGCAAACAAAATAACGTTTAGAATTTTGGATGCTAAATACAAATCATTAATGAACAGTATGAATAATAAGGGCCCTAAGATTGATCCCTGGGGAACACCACAAGTTATGATATGTTTTTTTTTCTTCATTTTCTGTATATATTATGTATAAATTATTTTCGGCAACTATATCTTCATTATTATTTTCATAATTTTCAACTGGATATGTCCACATCATTTAACTCTATTGCTAAATGTTGAAATACAGCACACGCAGCAATTATGGTGCAAGTTCTTTCTGGGGTCATTCGAACCTCTCCATGAAGCAAATGAAAACGTCGTTTCCACCTTCCAAACACTTGTTCAATTAAAACTCTTGTTCTTCTTAAAGATATATTATATCAACGCTGAGCTGCTGTAGTTGGACTAAGATACGGCGTAAGCAACCAACGAAAACATGGATATCCGGAATCGCCCAGTAATAAACCTTTAAGATCATCTATCATTTTTTTACCAAGCTTTGATTCTCTTAAAATTCTTGCGTTATGTGTGCTTTCATGCCATTTTGCAACAATATCAATGAACTCTCCGTTATAACCACACACCGCTTGGACATTGATCAAATGATTTGATGATCTATTGACATAAACATATTCGTGCTCGCGAGGTTTTTGTATGCAAACGTGCGTGCCGTCTATTAATCCAGTTATTCTTGGAAATTCTGCCACATTATAAAAATTTACTCAGCTCTCATTAAAACGTGTGGATCAGTTTGGTGCATAATGTATTCATTAACTCTTTTTGAAAAAAGAAACTCAAAGAAACTCGGCGAATAATTCTAGAAATAGTTGGTTGACTTAAAGCTGCTGTAGAATCACCAATCACAATCTGGAAAGATCCTGTTGCATAAAATCGAAGTGCGCATAATACTTGATAGATTGGCGGAACACAAAAACTTTGATTTGATTTTGGTTGTAAATCTGTTTTCAGCAAATTTTCCAAATAGAAACAAGAAGTTCGAAGAAACTTTTGATATAAGTCAACATCATCATAAATATCAAGTGGGTTGGTTCGGTCTCTAGATAACCTTTCACGTCTAAGACCTCGTAGGACTACTATTTCTTGACGTCTTACTTCTGCGAAAACTAAATGCATACGAACGAGTCGAGGCATTATCATTGAATATTTTCTATTCTTACTACTTTTATTTAGTTTTAGTTTTATTCGACCATATATGTGTTATTGCGACAAACAATAATCTACGACACAGACTCGTTACAAAAAATAATTTCCTGACAATGTTTCACAAATACCATCATGGTAATTAACACTTGTTACCCTAGGCAGTCTTTAAAATGTTTCACTATTCATTAAAAATAAATCTATACTAAAGCATAAGACACTTAATACTTTATTTTAATAACATTACAAATTTATTACATACTGTTTAAAAATATTTATTTTAATCATACAATTATTAGTATCCTATATATAAGTTATTAGTATATTATATACAAAAATATGTTAGAAATTTCATTTAAAACAATGGCAGTATCAACTATGAAAGTTGAGAAAAAACGTGCAGCCAGAGGAAAAGTGTATGTCTCAGAAGAGAATTTATTGGTAATTTCAAAGTTTGAAGAACATAAATATATTCTTTTGTCTAAAAATGGAAAGCGGAAATTAATAAACGAAGAAATTGTATGTGGAATGAGGTAATCCTTTATATTATATATATATTGAATAAAAAAATTAGTTTAGGCAGCATTATAAATTTTGATACTTATCTGTATTTTAGATCACCGATGCTGTAAGCAGCTTAGGATTTGATTAAAAGAACAGTTACCATAGTTACCAGTGTGAAAGGTTTATGGGATAATCTTCTTAAAAATGCAAAAAAAGAGATTTCATCAAAAAAAAAATTCTGACGGGGAGAGGACCAGCAGTAATTTTAACAGAAATCAGCCAGAAAATATTGGATATATACGGAGAAAATTATCCAATATTTTTTGGTTTGGAAGGTGTGGAAACCAATAGCATCGATTTTGTTTGCAATATACAGAATACTGTTAATCCAGTTGTAATTTATGGTGCAAGTTGTACAATGCTACACACTGCAATTACATCAGAAAATGGGAACAAAGACAACTCAGGACAAACTAAACGATCTACTGTGCAAGATGATGATATTATTATTTTATTTATTTAACACCCAATTTACAAGGTAAAAAGAAAAAAATAAGAAAGTTATTTCGGATGACTTTGCTTAAAAACGTTTTCTTCCAGAATTTGCTTGAAAACTCCTCTTTGCTCTTTTGCATTCCAGCACTCTATTGCATACTTCAAGTTTCGTTCAACTTCGGAAGGAATTTTACTTTTAGAAAGTGGTATTTTTACCTTCTTTTTATTTTGAATTAGGTTTTGAAAATTTAATATCTGAAGATGGCATAGTTCCTGATATATTAAAAAACGACCAAAATTTGTCTGGAAATAAAAAAAAACTCACTCCTGCTCTCCACCTGCCAACTGTTGATATGGAGAGTTACTTAACTGAGGAGAAATTTAAATTTAGGAAGGAAGTGCTAAAGCTACAGGCTGAAAGAGAGTACTTTATTTCTAAAAAGGAGCTAGTGGAGTTAGAAAAAAGAAACGCATTTTAAAAGAAAAAATACTGTTATTAAAAAAATTGTAAAAAGGTACTTAAAAACATTATAACTTTCTTGTCAATTAATGTAATACCATTTTTGTAAAACTTATTTTTTGTATATTAATATAAGCGCATATAATAACTATTTATTTATTTTCAGTTGTGAATTTACTTAAAATCTCCCAAACTTATAAAAAATTGTGTTCTTCAAATGTATATATTTAGTTATGAAAATTTGTAAAGCCAAGAAATGTTCAAGAAAAAAATTTCAAGTTCTAAGTTATACAAATATTGTTTGATAAACAACAAAAGAAAAAATATATTCTTTTTCACTTTGTAAGATCGATTGAGTCCTTGCAATGGATCATATTATTGTGCAAAATCAACTCCTAATATTTCAATGTCTACATTACTCATAACCTAAAATTCAGAAATTAATATAAGAACATACGGACACGGACACACCTACATATATGTATATATGTAAATATAAATGTTTACAAATATATATATATATATATATATATATATATATATATATATATATATATATATATATATATATATATATATATATATATATATATATATATATATATATATATATATATATATATATATATATATATATAGTAAGAAACAATTTTTTTTTGCTCATATATCTATGTATTTATGCATGATAGTATGTAACATACATATGTACGTACATACATATAAACGTATATGTAACATACATACGTACATATATAAATTTGCGCTCGTAATAGTATATACTATTAAACAAAATTCATTTGATTTCATGATAAATGAATATATTTATTATAAAATTCAATGTCTAATTAAAATACATTACAGTTTTTATATAATATAGATTATTTAGCATAAAATATAATATATTTTATATTATAATATAATATATCTTATATTTAAAAAAATTTTATAATTTAAAATATAATTTATTTAATAACATAAAATATAATATATTTTTATATAATAAATTAAATCCTGCAATAAGCTATTGACTGGTTAAAAGAAAAGCAGCAGTTTAATAAACAGTTATTTAATAAACATAATAAACAGTTTATCTATTAAACTGTTTATTATTAAAGTTAAAAAAGTTAAAAACTTATTAAAGTTAAAAACTTAGTTAAGTTAGCTTATTTAACATAAAAGTAAACTTACCTATTTCTAGTACAACTAATAATGAACAGTTTATCTATTAAACTGTTTATTATTAAAGTTTATCTATATTATAGTATATACTATTAAACAAAATTCATTTGATTTCATGATAAATGAATATATTTATTATAAAATTCAATAAATATGGCTAATTAAAATACATTATAGTTTAATTAGCCATTTATTGAATTGAATAATATAGCTTATTTAGCATAAAATATAATATATTTTATATTATAATATAATATATCTTATATTTTAAAAAATTTTATAATTTAAAATATAATTTATTTAATAACATAAAATATAATATATTTTTATATAATAAAGCTTATTTAACATAAAAGTAAACTTATTTATTTCTAGTACAACTAATAATAAACAGTTTATGTAACAGTTATTAATGAGGAAAACTCAATAAGCTTATTTTGTTTGGATACCATTTTTTATTTTTCTTAATATAAAAAAAAAATTTTTTGATAGCAGTTTTAACAGAAGGGTAAAGCAGAGTCAGATTTGGCGTTAACAGCCTTCTGATAACTAAGTTTTCTCCTGCCGTTAACTAAACGGAGACATTAGAATACGAGTTTATTTTATCGCTGGCGTTAAAAACTGCTGTTTTTCTTTTAACCAGTCAATAGCTTATTGCAGGATTTAACGGAGGGATGTGAATACGGCTGCTGATTAAGTTTTAAAAAAATACCTGTTGATAATAAATTTTGTTAACGTTGAATAGATAAACGCTGTATTTATAAAAAAAAACAAACGATATATGCATTTTCAATAGTTATTAAAAAATAAAGATTTCAATACCTGTTATTAAATTTTTTATAAAAACCCGTCAAATAACATTTATTTAAGACGAATACGCAAAAAAACTTAATTTTGATTTAGGTTTTATTATAAAACATTTTTTTTTCACAATAAAACACTTTTTTAGTTTTTTCTGTCAAAAAAAGAAGAAGTGCGAAATAAAATCATGTCAACAGCTTTTTTGTTTACAATTATATTGGTAAATGTATTATCATATTTATATTTGATTACTATATATTTATTACAAACAAATTAACTATCAATTAAAAACCTTCACTTTATTTTATTGAATAACTGTAAGTTATGTAATACGAAACAATAATGTTAGTCCTAGGTTTTGAGCACCATAACTTTAAAAAAATTTTCTTCCATTTTGAATATATCAAATATAATTCTTATTTTTAAAAATAATCAAAAAAAACTGTGATCTATTTAAAAATGTTCAGAAAACCCTGAGCACATTGAGTTACGTTACACAGCAACTTTTATATTATTTTAACTTTCTTTTTAACTGTAAAATCTGTTGTACGTTCCCAGCCGGCACATCAGATATTGTATAAAGTCAAAGTATTTATCTCCTATTACATACCGCTGTTGATACAAAAAAATCCGCTTTTTCGTTTAAGTTTTAAGTTTGAGTTTAATGCCAAACAATAATCAAAAATTTGCGCTGGAAGATAATGCTATGAAATTTAGAAGTTATGGATAAATATATATATATATATATATATATATATATATATATATATATATATATATATATATATATATATATATATATATATATATATATATATATATATATATATATATATATATATATATATATATATATATATATATATATATATATATATATATATATAGTATATATATATATATATATATATATATATATATATATATATATATATATATATTTATATATATATATATATATATATATATATATATATATATATATATATATATATATATATATATATATATATTAGTCTAGTTGAGAATAGTAAAAAATATTATATCAACTTGCTGCTCTCACGTTTGGAGTCGGTGGTGGTGGTGGTAGGGGAGGGAAGAATAACGAAATTTTGGGATTAACTTGTTCCCAGCCTCCAATCATCAAAATTTTTTGCAAAGCATTATTATTTGATATAATTATAAACATACATGTGTTTCAAGTTTGCTCCGTGTCTAGAAGTTAACTCAAACACCAAAATAATGCTGGATCAGTCACTGAAGAGAAAATTAATTATTTGTATTTATTTTCGCAAAAAGTTTTTATTTATTCAAAAAGAAGATTATAGTTTAGTAAAGAGTTAAAGTTACCATGCTTGCGAGAAAAAAAGTTTTTTTAATTTCTCATTGTGTTGAAAGCAAGAACTACACCATATAGTACTTTTAGTTTTAATGCCGTCTAAATAACTTTTCTAAAATGCCGTATATAGAAAATTGTAATTTTGTAAAATTGTAATTTTGTAAAATTGTAATTTTGTAAATTGTAAAATGTGTCAAATGTGGTTTGTTCATTTAAATAACACCCTAAAATGAAAAAACAGTTTTTTCATTGTGAAAATAGTATTTTCATACACCGTAATGTTTTATATTAAAACAACAGAGAGCACTATGCAATGAAACTTTCCAGTCCTCAAACAAATCATGATCTTATGATGAAAATGCTTTGCAGCTACGTTAATAAGGTGTCTAGAAAAACAAGAAGCCTATGAAAAGTCAAAGACTCTAATCAACTTGAGTATGTCAAGTGGTTCTTGATGTATTGTATGATGTATGTCATCACCTAGACTCCTAATGTATGATGTATGTCATCACCTTGACTCTTATAAATATATTTAAAAAAATATGTTAATAAAGTTCAAAGTTATTGAACGCTGTTTTTTTATGTTCATAATATCAAAGAAATTAAGTACATAAAATAACTAAGAATTACAAAAAATTTTGACAACCCACGACCACTACTATCTGTGAGATCATAACCACTCCTAGAGACTAAGTATGGCCAGATTTAATTTGCCTGATAACAATTACCTATATTTAGACATGCAACATGTACTATCTAACTAAAAAACCATCGGGATATTTGGGGAGCACTCTTGACCATCCCTAAAATGATCACCTGAGCAATCATGATCACTATTGAAGACCGAGTATGCCAAGTTTCAAATTCACTTACCTCAATTACCTATAACTAGAAATACAAAATGTCCCATCAATTTGAGAAACATCGAGACATCTCAGGACCACCCTTGACCATTACAAAAATGATCACTTTAGTGGTCATGACCATTTCTAAAGAATAATAACGTCCAGATTTTAAAACCCTACGACCAACCTTTACAACCCCAAAAATAACCGAAATGAGTAGCCGTGACGACTCCAAAATTAAAATAAAGCCCAATAATGAAATTCTTGACCCCAAAAACTTCTATAAACATGTATCATATGTCTATATTTAACCCATAAATAGTTTTTTTCATTTTTAGACAACTTTGACCCACTGTGCGATGTGTTGATATATGTAATAATGCTTTAGCAGAGTGGTACGATCTTCAACGAGTATCCGCGTTCTTTTATTTTCTAATAAAAATCATTATATATATATATATATATATATATATATATATATATATATATATATATATATATATATATATATATCCATGTATATATATATATATATATATATATATATATATATATATATATATATATATATATATATATATATATATATATGTATATATGTATATATATATATATGTGTATATATATATATATATATATATATATATATATATATATATATATATATATATATATAATATATATATATATATATATATGTATATATATATATATATATATATATATATATATATATATATATATATATATATATATATATATACATATATATAAATTTATTCAGTTATATATATAACTGAAATACTTCTTTCACATTCACAAGTTGTTAATGGAATTGAACCTAATATATAAATAAAAGCTTTTCTTATATTTGGAAAACTTCTCATGTCAATGGCCTTTAAAATACTAGCAACATTTAAAGGAATATTTGATTGGTTTTTAAAAATAATTCCCATCTAACTTAGCATGTATTGAAGTAAAATGAGGCATATGCAGATGAATAAAAATGCAAAAATTCATAAAAATCAGATTTTCATGGTTTCTTAACTTGTATTCCCGGACAATACAGTTGAAGGAACTGCTGCTAAACCTTTATAATCAAACATACCCTTTTCTGGAAACCTATTATCTTGTTCGTTAATAAGATGTTCAATTAATGAAGAAGTAATGCTGTTTAAAATAGATACAAACTGTATTTGTTGGATAATTGTACTGGTAAACCTGAAAAGTACACAATCTAGGTCTCACTTCATGGATATCAAGGCTAAAACCAAAAACCAAACTAATAGCAATAGCTACTACAACTAAACTAAGTTTATGGCTTGTTCAATGAACAAAAACAGCATTAAGATTAAGAGCTATTATTTAAGAAGTAACTCCTTTCTATTCACCTCCCATAAATCGTGTACCATCATTCCCTTTGCCTCTACAGTTTTGAATATCAAGTCAAAAAATTCTCTTGAAATGTATTAAGTAATTTTAGTAAATAATTTTAGTAAGTTTAGAGACAGACTAAGACCAGACGTACCAGTCTTGCAACAAATAAATGGTAGACAATCCTTATTAAAGGAAAATTCTTATTAAAGCTACCTCAATTGCCTTCCCACAAGAATCAATAAGTTGGTTTTGGGTAGTTTTTGATATAAAGGATCTTTTTGGACTTGAAAAAAGATGATTAGCTAATATTTAATTACCAGCCTCAACTCAAATTTTTAAAAGCTGTATGAAGTTACATCTTCCAACCAAGAAATATTATTGTTTTATTTATAAAAACAAATTTTTTTCAGTTATCAAACAAATATTTTAAACAAGAATTGTTTAAATCAACCTCAATTTTATATGATTTTTTTGTATTAAGAGTCTATTAAATATCTAGTAAATAGATAACGGAAAAATAAATATAGAATTTGGAGGAAATACTTTGTTTACCATACCTATCAAAATTGCATAGTCTTTGCCAGTGGTTAAAAGTTTACCATGGGTTACATATATTTAAACATCATATAAAGTATTTATATAAAGGAATATTGACTGAGTTAGAATCTAATCACTCAAATATTTTAAAATCTACAGAAAGTTTAAAAGGCAACTCTATAAAAGCATTATCTTTTTTAAAGTCAATTTTAGATTGGATTTTGACATGTTTTGCAGAATTAACTTTTTCTGTAAAAAAAATCATAAGAGAATTGTTTTTTATTTGTTTTATTTTTAGGACTAATAAAGTGTAAAAGATATGTAAAAATAAATAAAAAAAAGTATATAAAACAAGATCAGTTTATTTTATTTTCTAGCTGGAAATATATAACATCATTAACTTTAGTAATAGAGTTTTACCTTAAAGCACCATAATCTTTACTATCGTCTGTCTTCCAGATAAAACAATCCATTTTAGAATTTAAAAGACTGACTTTATGGCTGCACTGGATACTTGTTTTTAAAAATTTTCAACTCTTCAGCTAACTGATTTTTACATTTGTGAATATTTTGCAAACACCTAGCCTTAATTGCATTTGAAACTAAAAAATTCATCTTTGTTAAAAAATTTAATTTATTAGTAAAGTCCTACGTATTCTCCTATCATATTTGAAACATTTTTGGATTTTTAGCGGAAGGTTTGTAGCAACTGATGCAATTGTTATTTTAATAAATATTGATTGATTTCAACTGTTTTTTGACCAATCATTTATGATTTCGAGAACTATTGCATCACTGGTTACAAATTGGAAGAAAAAGTTTGTAAAAATATACAAATACGATTGGTTAAAGTCTAAAATATTTCTTATTTAACCAATCACATTTGTATTTGGTGAAGAAAAATTGCATCAGTTGATCAAAAACGATTTTTACTCTAAATAACGAATAAGTAATTATAGAGATCAAATAAAATCGAGTTTAGATGTAAAAAAAATTTTCGATTTTAAAATAAGTTCTACAATTTTTGAAAATATCAGGTTGTAAATTCTACCTTAACTTTTTGTTATTAAAAAACCCTTCATATAACAATAAATAAGTTTGATGCACCAATGCAGTTGGTCT